ACAGCTGCCCCTGGAAGCTGCAGCCCAACCCAGCAGCTCCTGGAAGCTCCCGCCTGGCCCAGCAACAGGGCACTAAGCCCCAGCCTCCCTCGCCGCTCTGCATTCTGCCTCCCCAGCTGATCCTCGCTGTCTTCTTGCTCCTGTTGCTGACAAGGCATGCCTGGCCTGGCTCTATGCGAGGCAGCTGCTTGCCACACAAGTCTTCTTTCCCCAGGTCTTGCGAGGAAACCACCACACGCAACCTTGGGAAGCAAGGCTCACGAAGGGCCAGGCCAGGCATGCCTTATCAGCAGCAGGAGCTGGTGGCAGCAGGGGGCCAAAAGGGCAGAGATGGGGGGGAGATAGGCAGGTGGGGGGAGTTGAAGCACCCCTGCGGTTGTAAGTGCAGGCAGGCACCCAAGCACCCAAATTTTGATCATGTGACTGCGGGAGCACTGCAACAGCTGTAACTTTGGGGACCAGGCATAACTATCATTTGTTCAGAGCCACTGTAACTTCAAACAGTCGCTGAACGAATGGTCATAACTCAAGGACTACCTGTATATATTCTGGGCGTAATTCACAAGGGATAAATCCCATGCCCCTAAAGGGCACTCTAGCCTGGAGAAAGCTGGGAAAATCTAAGGTAATTTGTTATGCTTTATGGCTTCTAGACAAGTGGCCTTTTACAAACTTCATTAGCTGAAATGAAGAAAGCTTGCTTTCTTTTCTTTTTTTTGGCATAATGCAAGTTGATAGCATTGTTAGCGTGCAACATTAAATTTGTTTTAACCACATTCTGTTGAACTTGTTAAGAACAATCCTGCAGGTAAGAATAGAAATGGCAGGTTATTCTGTCAAATGCTAGTTTGCTACCCCCACCACAACTCTTCAGGCTTGTGCAGATTTCTCCTAAGAACAAACAGGACCTCAGTGTGCATAAGAGAATGCTGAAACTGAATGGAGCCAACTGCACTGGCTCCACCCTGTACTGAGACACTCCTAGTTTAAAGCAGCACATTGCACAATTCAATACTCATAGATACTATGAAGTCTGAAATATTTTTTGCTAGACAAATAAAAACAACTCTTACATTTTTGATACTTTACCTCTGTGGCAATGAAACTATCAATAGTTGTAGTTAAACATGTTACAAGGCAAAAGCCTTACTCTAAAATTCTATGCCTCATGCTTAGGATTGCATTTACATTTTGTTATAACTTTATCTGCTCATTCCTTCATATGAGTAATAGAAATAATCAAGCTTTGCTTACATCCTCTTGGAATTCTTACACTCTTGATTTCTTCCTTATTCATTCCCAGGAAAAGCAATATTGGGTGCAGAGGCCTGGAACAATGGCTGTAATTTTCCAGGAGCTCAAATACCAATTCTGCTTTCTTCTGTCCAGGGCATATGATTAATGCTACTGGCTATACACAAAACATTATATAGAGATGAATCAGAAAAATGTAAATCATACATCTTAAAAAAGTAATTTGATTAGCCAACACAAATAATACAAACTCACGCAATGGGCTAGAGTACAATTGCATTTTTTTTCGATTGTATAAAATGTATCTGTCCATGGAACTGACTTGCTTCCTACAGCTTCCCTGTTTTGAAAGATTAGAGGACCTTTTTCAAGCAGATTCTGATAAAGATATGAATTAGGGGACAAATGCAGGGAGAGGAGAAGTGGGAAATTTGACTATACAGGTAGTTCTTGGTTAACGACCATTTGTTCTGTTTGAAGTTACAGTGGCGCTGAACAATGGGAGTTATGCCGAGTCCCTGAAGTTATGGCCATTGGAGCACCCCCCGCAGTCACGTTTTCAAAATTCAGGTATTTGGCAACCTGCCTGCACTTAGGTCTATAGGGATGCTTCAGCTCCCCCCACCGTCTCCCCCCCCATCTCTGTCCTTTTGGCCACCCTGCCAGCCCTAGCTAGCCTTCGCCATCCTCTTCCTTCCGCTGCTGACAAGGCATGCCCTGCCTGGCTCTTCGTGAGGCAGCTGCTGGCTGCGCCAGGCCTTCTTCCCAAGGCCCCATGTGGCCTTGTCCAAATTGCATGTGATGTTCTCATGAGGCTCAGGAAGAAGGCCTGGTGCAGCCAGCGGCTGCCTCATGAAAGGCTAGGCTGGGCACACCTCTTCAGCAGCAGGAGAAAAAGACAGCAAAGGTCAGCTAGGGCCAGCAGGGCGAGCGAAGTACAGGGTGGGCAGAGGCGGTGGAGTGCAGGGCAGCCAAAAGGGCAGAGATGGGGGGGAGAGAGGAGGGTGTGGGGAGTTGAAGAGGAGGCAGTCCCTTAACTTACCAAGGCTTGGGGCTAAGAGGGATCAAGCCAGGAATGGCTTGGATTGGAGGGGGGATCCTCGCCTAACAACCAGGTGGGATTCAGTTAACGATGGCTGCCGTTGCTAAGCAAAGCGGTCACGTGACATTGCACTTTATGACACCACTTAGCAACGGAAATTCCGGTCCCAATTACCATCGTTAACTGAGGACTACCTGTAGTGGCAGATGTTAAGTCACAGAAAATGATCAGCCTTTAGTCCCTATTAAAGGCACCTTTTTATGGAAGAGATTTAGGCTCTTAGGAAGTATGTATTACTACTTAATTTTAAAAGGCAGCATCCAACTTGAGGTGAGCCAGGCCCATTGAAAATATGTTTGTAATTAGCTGTTCAAGCAACTGAGAGGGCTTATTTCAATAGACCAGAGGCTATGATATGCTCCATTTCTCCATTTCCCACAGTCCTAAGCACAGAAATATAACACAGAGATAGATGTCTATAATGGTTGCACCACCAGAATGAATGAAAGTGCCTTATTCCTATATTTTTACTACTATCTTCAGACCACCGCCATCTTTCCAGAACCTTTTTCCTTCTATACCAGAATGAATGAAAGTGCCTTATTCCTATATTTTTACTACTATCTTCAGACCACCGCCATCTTTCCAGAACCTTTTTCCTTCTATGCAAAGTTGCATTAAAAAAAAAAAAGTTCAAAAATGCAACAACAAGAGAACCATGAACAATAATAGCCTAACTACAGCCTATTTTTAAATACTTGCCTGCAGTCAAGGTAGTTGTGAAGCATAACTGTAATATTCTACTTACACCATTTCTAGCTGGTAATGATATGTAGCAACTTCTTGACTGCAAAAATGTAATAATTGGCAGGAGATATGAAAGTGGATCATTTGCAGGAGAGATAATAAGCGAATCATATCCACGTGCTATGGCAGGCCAGGAATAAGACTGCACATGATTAGGCCCCAGGAACTGATTTCTTAAAAGCTCCTTTCAGAAAAGAAACATAGAATATTTGATTAAACATTCATACATTGCTTATAAGAAAGGAATTAAGATTAAGATGTGATTAAATGAAACTGTACGGGTTTTTTTTCTTTCCAGCTCAACCCAAACAGTAGAAAGAAATTATTTAAACAAGCCTGGGACATGTCTATCCGTCAGTAGCATCAGAAGGATGGGCTGTCACAGCCCCTGTTAATTATCAATATCACTATGCTGAACGTGGCAAAAAATAACCAAGAATGATTATTAGAATGCTTTAGTTCAGAACAACTTAGCCATCACTATTTAAGGAATTTGACCAAGGCATGACCCATGCTTTTCCACAATATGGTAAATTATATTGTATAAAAGATAGTAAAGCTTACCTTTTTTAAAGCTGGAAACAGTGGTGCTGTTTCAAGAGATGAACATGGTTCAATTTTATTACTCAGCACAACAGGAAAATGTGTAGTGATATTCAGCTGAAGCTCCTAAAAATAAACGAATGAAAGACTAATAGACCATACAGAACTTTTTCAGTGTTCAACCTAATGCAAGTGGTTTTCTACCTTTTAATTTTATTTTCCTTTATGGAATAGACAAAAAACACCCAAGAAACATCCAAGAATGTGTGAATCTGCAGCTTTAATTTCTGATGCCTTCATTAAAACATTCCTCATTTCAGAAAAATGTTCACACAAATTAAAACATTCAAAATTAATCTACTTGTTTCTTGAACTACCTCAGTTTCTTGTCCGTTGGCAGTTTTCAGAGGATCGGGGTTTAAAAACTGTAGAAGCCTGAAAACACACAAGTTCACTTTTCAAGCATCAGTTAGAAGTCCATTCATTCAGCATTTTTAGGTTTTTCTCTAAGCCTTCTCACAAAGAACTGAGGGCTAAATAGCTTGTGCTGTTTTTGCCCGAAGGATAACAACTCTGCGCTAGTTCATTCAGTTACCAAATTTGACCCCAAATCCCAGATCAGAGCGTTTCTTTTGAACTGACAATAGATGTTATAAACAAAGACATATTCAGCTACTGAAAACACAACTTCCAATCCCAGATCAGCTTCACATTTTTTGTTTGCCACATTTAATTCCTTATATTAAAAAAAAGTGTTATTCCACCATGGTAGGAAATGAACTGGTATTTAGTAACTATGTACGGTGTTTGAAATAACAGGACATGGATCAACACCACGGTCTTGAGGATTAACCCCAGTATTTCAATTCAGCACGTAAATTTCCAGTAGAGTGTTATATCTGAAAAACGTAATTAACAAAAGTGTTGATCAATTCACTAAAAATAAGTATATTTCTTTTTTAACTGGTAAGTTTTCTGTACTTCTCCTAGAGAAGTGTGTGGGAAGTTCACCACCTCACTCTGATTTTAGAAAGGCTCAAGAAGCAATTAGATACCTTTCAGTTACTTTCTGAGACTCTCCAAGTACTACAGTGGTACCTCGGGATACGAACTTAATGCGTTCCGTGACTCTGGGCCTATCCTGAGTTGGTCGTGACCCAACGCAAATTTCCCCATAGGGTTCAATGTAAATCCGGTTAATCTGTTCCACCCTCCGAATTTGGTCACACCCCGAAGCAAATTTTCCCATAAGGTTCAATGTAATTACCATTAATCCGTTCTGGCGTCCGTGGACCACGCGTCAGGGGCGGGAGAACGGCCAGGCGTGGCGGGAGAACGGCCGGGCGCGGCGGGAGAATGGCCG